CATCCACCCGACCCGAATTTTTAGAGTATAAATCAGACCCGACTAGATATAAAATAATGATTTAATTAAAAAATATTTTTAAAAGAAATTACATTATTATCCTTGGTTGGGTTGGAGTTTTTTCATCCTCCACCCGACCCAATCTCACTCCTTAAAAAATCCGACCTAACGCGACCCAAACCCGATTTTTTTAAAATATCGACCCTATCAAATCGAAACCGTCGAATTTGAGTTAAATTATCATCTCTAACTCTCTTTTTTTTTGGTGAAGGAAAGTTTGATTAACTAGGGATCAAATCTGTTCTAAAACAGTAACATATAAATGCAAAAACTTTATTGGAAGGTCCAGCAAAACTCAGCATTAAACAGTGTCTGGGTTTACGATATAATGTCAAGACAGTTCAGTTATAATTAAATGCTAACACATGTTAAATTTTGCTTATTTCTATGATCTCACTTTTTTTACCACCACTCTTTTTACAACCATTAAAAAGGTTAATTTAACATTCACGATTAAAATGTGATATCAAATCCCGACAGATATAATCTGTTTCGAGTCATCTCTTCGTAGCAAAATGGTAAATGTTAGGTGTGACTCATAAATATATCAGTAAAGATGACAGATGATGTGTCAAGATTTATTTATTATAAAAAGATATGTAAATAAAACCTATGAGACATTGAATAAAAATTCTAGCGTCGCCTAGGACACTAAGAATGTAAGCACATTACTGAACCTCGTTAAAATTCTTGTGTTCTTTCCGTTTTATTTACCCGATTATTCAACAGTAAAAGAGGGGGTTTTGGCTGAAAATTAGGGTTAGGTTTGTATGACACAAAACAGGAGGATGAATGCCAGTTGCATGAAGATTCCACTCTATAAAAGGCATGTAAAACACCGTCCTCTTTCGTCTCTCGTAAAATATTCGGAGTGTTAACTTCAAAGGGAAGATGGAGATCAAACATTTCGTCGTCCTGATCATCTCCATCTTCTGTATATTGCAAAGCTCTTCTTCTACCAGACATCATAGGTCCGTTTCTAATAATAACAACTCGCCAGCAGCACCGGACGCTGGTCCATCGACACAGGCAGCTCCGAACGCACGTTCGTTGACACTGGCAGCTCCGAAAGTAGGTTCGTTGACACCGGCTGCTCCGGACGCAGGCTCGTCGACACCCGCTACGCCGGATGAGATTAGGACAACCCTCGAAGCACCAGACGAAGGTGAAGAATCACCCGACGCCGATGGAGCATCACCCGAATCGCCGTACGGCAGTCGCGATAAATCGCCGGTCGAACCAGCATTGGGTCCGTCTGCGGAATTCTCCTTTGCTAATTCAAAGCCCGCTAGCAATCCACCTGGGCTGGACAAAATCTGCGGAGCCACCGATCTGCCCGTCGATTGCATGAAACTCATCTCCCCATTCGTAAACAGCAGCGTCAAGGTCGAGCCTCTGAGCATCGCGAAGGTGGGGATTCGAGTATCAACAGAAATGTCGAAGCAAGCCATCGTGACGGCCACCAGGTTCATGGACGATCCGAAATCGTCGGCGAAACTGAAACAGGCCATGTCCTTGTGTCTGGAACTCTACGAAGGCATTCCCGACGACAACGACCTCGCGCTCCGAGCTCTGGACAAACGCAACGCATTCGAGGTTAAAATCAAGCTAAGTTCCAGCCTGACCAGCGTGGAAACCTGTCTCGATGGCATCCATCAATCGCGCGTTACGTCGCCGATGAGGGACATGGAAGCAAAGCTTAAGAAACTGCTTCAAATCACCCTTACCATTGTTTCCGGTTTGGTCAAATTTTAGTCGAACGAAACGCCCACTAAAAGTCTGGGTAAAAATATAACAAAAGAATCATAACAATGTGTATTGTGTGATTATTGAACGCCTTTGTATGAATATAATTATTAATGAGCAAAAGATATTATCTTTTAATTTTATTTTTAAAGACTCAAATTTTCAGATTTTTCAGTCATGCAAGATAATGTTTTCAAATCTAAATCCATGGGAAATTAAAATGAAAAAAAGGAAGAAATTAGGATCTTAAAAAATCTGTTATTTCAAAAAATATACATAGAAAATCTGCTCAAATTATTTCCTATTTATTAAATCTGCTCAAATTATTTCCTTTATTATTAAATAATTAGTCCATCTATTATACAAATATACTCAAATTGGTCCATTTATTATTAAATAGATTAAAATAATCATTGTGATTGTAAAAAAATAATTAAATAAGACTAATTAACATAGATAATTTCACTATTTTTTAAAGTAATTTATTATTTAACAAAGTTAAATTTCTAAGATTTTTTTGGATAAGATATTACCTAAAGAAAACAGTGAAACTGCTACACACAACAAGGCATCCAGCTAGCAAAATTTCTAAGATTTATATAGTTCTGTAAATGAAATCTTTTGTTTGAAGTTAATATCTAAATGAAATAATAAGTTTCATTTCATTTTAAAGGAAAGAATGTTAATTCTATCAAAATTAAGCATGATTGGATTCTTTATATTAGTATAGAGTCAAGATTAAATTGATCCATTTAGTAGTAAGTAGACTAATTTGGATAGGCCTTAATAATAGAGGGAACTACCTCATAATTTCACCATTAAAACTAGGTCCACTTCGGTTATCGTCCCCGAAGCCCATCGCCGCCCCTAAGCCCTAGAATTCGAGATAAATGAACCCCCCCCAAAGTACACGCATGGATCACTTTCTCAGCCAGTGATGCTTCTAAAATAATCTCTTCACTTGTGATGCATAGGGTTCATTTTGATACAAATGTAGTTGGAGATTTCAAAGTCCTTAATTTTACATGGTTTGAGGCTCCAGCGCCTTCCCCAGGTAAATTATGATATGACTTCAGTTCTTCTCGTATCTGGTGGCTTTCGAAAGCTATGTTTTTCTTGATCCCAAGTAGCTTTTATACCCAATGGCTTCTTGAAAACTCATAGTTTTGTTTTATTTCACTTTAATTATACTTGTATATAACTATACTTACAAAGCTCAGCATCTTGTTTATAGCTGCCGTTGTGGTTTCTGAACCTGTAGCTGCACCAGCACATAAATCCTCCAATTCTACATCAACAAGCCCTTCAAACAAGGACTCTTATCTCCGGTATTTCTGCTGGCTTACTGTTTTTTTCCTATAATATCCGTGCTTATAATTTGTTCCTGTGCATTCCGTGGGGTAAAGGCAGAAGCATCTCCTCAAGAGCCTGGTATGTTTAACCACAATGACTATGATTTTCTTTTCGGTTAGATAAAAACTAAAACTTGAGTTGTGTAATTTTGCGCGTCTTGTGAAACCTTGTAACAAGAATGTTGATTGATTCTGCATTACTGGTTTTAATTCAGTATTGCAGACTGCTTAAGTTTTTCTTTTTCTTGCAGTAAAACCAAAGACTACAGATGCGGTTGCACAATCAGGGTATTTTAACCACGCAAGCAGCACTCGGTTTCTACTATATGAAGAGCTTAAAGAAGCAACAAACAACTTTGCTCCCGCAATTCCCTCCGAAGATCTCCATGAAGGTCGATGAACAACTTCGACCGGAAACTAGTGCAAACCGAATACAACAGTGCGAACATTTTCTCGGTAGGCAATGATGGAATTCGAATTGGAAGTGTTGTAGATTTTTGTAATCTCTATAGATGGCGGGAATGGGTTCTTCTTGTCTCTATTTGTTGTTGTACCACTGTTAAATTCCCCCCTACTCAATGCTGGAAGAAATTTTGTACATATGCACCACTGTAGCTTTATTTTTCACATTGGATTTTCATTCAAGGGTTTATAAATTTGTTGGTCCCCAATATATATATTACTTTTTCACCTAAACTTTAATTTAGTATTAATATAATTCTCTAAGTTAATTTTTATAAAATTTTATCTGCAACGGGCAATGTTAGGATTGGGTTTTAGGTCAACTCGACCCAACCTAAAACTATGTGTCTTCCATTCGAACCCAATCCGATTCGAAAATTTTATAACCTCCACCTGATCCAATCTGAAAAATATATATCATCCATCTGATTCAAATTTTTAGAGTATAAATCAGACCCAACCCGATATAAAATAAGGATTTAATTAAAAAATAATATTTTTTAAAGAAATTACATTATTATCCTCTAGTTGGGTTGGAGTTTTTTCATCCTCCACCCAACCTAACATCACTCCTTAAAAAATCTGACCTGACGCAATATGATCCCGATTTTTTTAAATAATAAACCTTATCAGCTCAAATCAGTCGGATTTGAGTTAAATTGTCATCTCTAATTTTTATTTTAATTTTTTTTGGTGAAGGAAAGTTTGATTAACTATAGATCAAATCTGTCCTAAATAAGTAAAATATAAATGCAAAAACTTTATTGGAAGGTCCAGAAAAACTCAGCATTAAACAGTGTCTGGATTTACGATATAATGTCAAGACAGTTCAGTTATAATTAAATGCTAACACATGTTATATTTTGCTTATTTCTACGATCTCACTCTTTTTACCACCACTCTTTTTACAGCCATTAAAAAGGTTAATTTAAACATTCACGATTAGAATGTGATATCAAATCCCGACAGATATAATCTGTTCCGAGTCGTCTCTTCGTAGCAAAATGGTAAATGTTAGGTGTGACTTATAAATATATCAGTAAAAATGACAGATGATGTGTCAAGATTTATTTATTATAAAAAGATATGTAAATAAAACCTATGAGACATTGAATAAAAATTCTAGCGTCGCCTAGGACACTAAGAATGTAAGCACATTGCTGAACCTCGTTAAAATTCTTGTGTTCTTTCCGTTTTATTTACCCGATCATTCAACAGTAAAAGAGGGGGTTTTGGCTGAAAATTAGGGTTAGGTTTGTATGACACAAAACAGGAGGATGAATGCCAGTTGCATGAAGATTCCACTCTATAAAAGGCACGTAAAACACCGTCCTCTTTCGTCTCTCGTAAAATATTCGGAGTGTTAACTTCAAAGGGAAGATGGAGATCAAACATTTCGTCGTCCTGATCATCTCCATCTTCTGTATATTGCAAAGCTCTTCTTCTACCAGACATCATAGGTCCGTTTCTAATAATAACAACTCGCCAGCAGCACCGGACGCTGGTCCATCGACACAGGCAGCTCCGAACGCACGTTCGTTGACACTGGCAGCTCCGAAAGTAGGTTCGTTGACACCGGCTGCCCCGGACGCAGGCTCGTCGACACCCGCTACGCCGGATGAGATTAGGACAACCCTCGAAGCACCAGACGAAGGTGAAGAATCACCCGACGGCGATGGAGCATCACCCGAATCGCCGTACGGCAGTAGCGATAAATCGCCGGTCGAACCAGCATCGGGTCCGTCTGCGGAATTCTCCTTTCCTAATTCAAAGCCTGCTAGCAATCCACCTGGGCTGGACAAAATCTGCGGAGCCACCGATCTGCCCGTCGATTGCATGAAACTCATCTCCCCATTCGTAAACAACAGCGTCAAGGTCGAGCCTCTGGGCATCGCGAAGGTGGGGATTCGAGTATCAACCGAAATGTCGAAGCAAGCCATCGTGACGGCCACCAGGTTCATGGACGATCCGAAATCGTCGGCGAAACTGAAACAGGCCATGTCCACGTGTCTGGAACTCTACGAAGGCATTCCCGACGACAACGACCTCGCGCTCCAAGCTCTGGACAAACGCAACGCATTCGAGGCTACAATCAAGCTAAGTTCCAGCCTGACCAGCGTGGATACCTGTCTCGATGGCATCCATCAAATGCGTGTTACGTCGCCGATGAGGGACATGGAAGCAGAGCTTAAGAAACTGCTTCAAATCACCCTTACCATTGTTTCCGGTTTGGTCAAATTTTAGTCGAACGAAACGCCCACTAAAAGTCTGGGTAAAAATATAACAAAAGAATCATAACAATGTGTATTGTGTGATTATTGAACGCCTTTGTATGAATATAATTATTAATGAGCAAAAGATATTATCTTTTAATTTTATTTTTAAGAGAAAATCGCCTCAGTGACCAAAAAAAAGTTATAATATACGATTTTAACCAACTTTTTTTGGATTTGCCAAAATGACCAACAAAATCGCAACGCGAAATAAAAATCGCAACGCGATCCCCAGAATCGCAAATCAGTTTCCAGAATCGCAAATCAGTTTCCAAAATCGCAACGCGATTCTTGAAAATCGCGATGCGATAGTACAAATTCGCATTGCGATTTTCCAAAATCGCAACGCGAATATGAAAATCGCAACGCGAACACATAAATCGCAACGCGTATCCGTAAATCGCAACGTGTATCCGTAAATCGCAACGCGTATGGGTAAATCGCAATGCGTATCCGTATATCGCAACGCGTATCCGTAAATCGCAACGATAATACATAAAATCGCAACGCGTATCCGTAAATCGCAACGCGATATTTAAAGCGCCATTATAATCGCTACGCGTATTTTATTTTCAAATTACAAAAAGAATATTAAGACAAAATCCCGTAATCGCAACTCATAACCTAAAACCTAAAATCACAACTCAGTCCATCTCCATCTCTCACTCTCTACGGCGAAGAAATCCGTCCCCATCTCCGAAGATTTCCGTCCCCATCTCCGGCGAAATCCCTCACAACCATTCACGGTCAGAAATCCCTCACAATATTCAGAAATGGAAAATCAACCTCCGAGGGTTAGTTTTTTTAATTATTTTTATTTTGAAATGTTTGCATTATTGTAGGTTTTTCATATTGAAACTGATGATAAGTTTACTGGTCATTTCAATAATAGATTAACCATTTCACTTAGATTTCATTTCGCGTTACGATTCTGTCGTTGCGATTTTCATTTCGCGTTGCTATTCTCTCGTTGCGATTTTCAAGTTAGTATTTGTCTTTGTCTTTGTTCTGTCTTTTGGTTGAAGTAATGCAATCCATTCAAGTTTCAATTTGCAGAAGAGTCGCAACGAGATAAATGAAAATCGCAACGAGAGAATGACTGTCGCAACGAGAGAATCGCAACGCGAAATGGAAATCGCAACGAGAGAATCGCAACGCGAAACCAAAATCGCATTGCGATTTTCATTTCGCGTTGCGATTCTCTCGTTGCGATTTTCATTTCGCGTTGCGATTCTATCGTTGCGATTGTCATCTCGCGTTGCGATTCTCTCGTTGCGATTTTCATTTCAACCAAAAGACAAAACAGTGTTGCAAATTTTAGTTTAAAGAATAAACTACTACTTTTTATGTTTATTGTTTTTGGTATATCTTCACAGTGTAGTTTTTGGTATATCTAACTTGGTATGTTTATTGTTTTTGTAGAAATTTTTTCGGCTCAATTGACCTTGAGAAATAAAGTCAGCCTGGCCACTACAATTGCAAAGAAGCTTTCACCTGCTCAAAGACAATTGTTTGAGGAAACCTGCTTCGGGCCATGGCTGAGAGTACAGCATCCGGGTGGAGATGCTAATTTGACCCATTTGTGGCTTCAGACCATGACATCAAATCTACCCGACAGTATACAACGTGGTGAGGAAGAGATATGGTTTCATTTTCCACCAGCGTATACTTGCTTTGGGCGGAAGGAGTTCTGCTTAATCACTGGTCTACGATTCGGACACGATGATGTAGGCCGGTACACTCGTCATATCGCCCGCCCATCATGGTTATCCCGGGTTTTTCCGGATGAGTCAATGGAGAAGCCGAACCTACATGTCGACGACCTGAAGAAATTATTTAATAAGAAAGCTGGTTTCACTCGGATGGAAGACGTCGATGTTGTCCGAGTATGCCTTCTACTACTTGTGTATGCCGGCTTTTTAGGCAGAGAGGCCAGACAACCTATTCATCGGGAGCTAATAATATTGGTAGAGGACCTGAATGCATGGAATCTGTTTCCGTGGGGTTCGTATATATGGAAAGCTACCTGGACTAAGTTGTCGTCTGCCTTTGATGACCGCAAAAGTTTGCGGGGCGATGGGTCCAAATACACTTTGTCAGGCTTTGTTTGGGCCTTTAAGGTAAGAATTTCTATATAATGTTTCTAAAATTATAATTAATTATTTAACAATTACTAATTTTGTTATTATATTGTTTGTAGATTTGGATATTCGAGGCTTTCCCCAGCATGCGTACATATGCAATAAAAACGTCAAATGATATTCCCAGGGCTATTTCCTGGAAGAGGAAAACTCTGTTGGATTGGGAAGACTTAATACCATATGCCACAATAAATAATGTAAGTTAACACAAATACTTTCATATAATATATAAACAAGTTATTAATAGTAGACGTTTAACTTTGTTTGAGTTTTTATATTTTAGGAGGCCAACATTCCATTACAAAGACTGACACCCACGGAGGAAGAGCTTGCCACTGATTGGTGGCAAGCTAGTCAGAATTTTTTTGATGGCACGGATGATGAGCAGCATCCACTTCCTCCAATTCGAGAGCCATCACCTCACCTAGAGCCATCACCCGATCGACCCGACTATACATCTCTAGAACGAGAGCCATCACCTATCCCGTCACATCATCGAGCCTCTTCTCCACCATCACCTCATGATAGGCGACCGGCAAAGATGCCACGACTCCTATCTCCCTGTTCTCCACCTCCACCTCAACGGGATGAGTCAAGGGAGTTACGTGATGAGGTCAATGCCTTGCGTGAGGAGATCGGTACTCTACGCGATAACGATGGTGCATGGCGTGTGGAGGTGTCAACTTTACGTGGTGAGGTTGCCGCTCTACGTGAGATGATAGTATCGTTGCAGAATGAGGTTCATACTCTACGCAACGAGGTAAGTTTAAGATTTTCCATATTTAACTTAATGATAAATTTACTCGTAATTTCACTTAGATTAGCCATTTCACTTAGATTGCTTAGTAAATTTGTTCGGTTGCTGCCAATTCTGCTAAACTGTGTATTCTTTAACACTGTGAAATAGTATTTGTCTTTGTTTTGTCTTTTGGTTGAAAGTAAATTTGTTCGGTTGCTGCCAATTCTGCTAAACTGTGTATTCTTTAACACTGTGAAATATATTTGTCTTTGTTTTGTCTTTTGGTTGAAAGTAAATTTGTTCGGTTGCTGCCAATTCTGCTAAACTGTGTATTCTTTAACACTGTGAAATAGTATTTGTCTTTGTTTTGTCTTTTGGTTGAAAGTAAATTTGTTCGGTTGCTGCCAATTCTGCTAAACTGTGTATTCTTTAACACTGTGAAATAGTATTTGTCTTTGTTTTGTCTTTTGGTTGAAAGTAAATTTATCCATTCAAGTTTCAATTTGCAGAAGAAGAAATAGTTTACTTTCGCAACACGAAACTTAAAATCGCAACGCGAAACCAAAATCGCAACGCGAAATGAAAATCGCAACGACAGAATCGCAACGCGAAACCAAAATCGCAACGACAAGATCGCAACGCGAAACCAAAATCGCATTGCGATTTTCATTTCGCGTTGCGATTCTTTCGTTGCGATTTTCATTTCGCATTGCGATTCTGTCGTTGCGATTTTCATTTCGCGTTGCGATTTTGGTTTCGCGTTGCGATTTTAAGTTTCGTGTTGCGAAAGTAAACTATTTCTTCTTCTGCAAATTGAAACTTGAATGGATTGCATTACTTCAACCAATAGACAAATCAAAGACAAATACTAACTTCAGGGTATTAGTTTGAAACATATTTTTCTTTGTTATCTGATGCATTTTGTGAACTATGATAGAATAATGACTTGGGTGAATACAATGCAAGTTTGAAACATATTTGTCTTTGTTTTCACTGTTTAAATATCATGTCTGTTTATTTACTGATTTTTGTATTTAATTATTTAGCGGCCCGATAGAGTGGATGCTTTACGTCGGGTTATGCTTGCACGACGGAGTTCACGCATCAGACAGCGTGCACGTGCTATTAAGTCTCCGTACACCCCAATAGTGCGAAGACACCGCAAGAAGAAGCCCGACTCGCCTGTCATCCCTCAAGAGTCCACTCCTATCGTTGAAGAGGCCCCCCATATCATTCCTCGAGAGTCCCCTCCCACCGTTCAAGAGGCAACTGTCATCGTTGAAGAGGTCCCTCCCACCATTCCAGAGCCCGATTCACATGGGGTAATATATCGAAGTATTGAGAAACCCCCACCGGTTCCGGACATGATGGATGAGAGTTGGCTCTCGTATGAGTTACCGGCCAGTACCATACCGGTATCTGAAGAGGAGAGGGAACAACTACCGGACACAATTTTGGATAACACCCTTTGGGCTAAGACCGCAGTTGATTTTTATCTACATGAGCGGAGCAAGGGGTGTTTCACTGACATATGCAAGCTCACCGATGATATCTTTTTGTTGCTTGAACGGCCTTGGTGGGGCGTATTATTAGGGGTCGAAGACAATGGCTATTTCGATGGGGGGGTAAGTCTTATATTTTTCTTATATTTCAATTTGATTAATTTTTTTTTTAAATTTATGTAAGTCACTAATATATGTCTTTTTTTGTAAAACAGCATATCGATGCGTGGGTGACACGTCTTCTAATAATAAGAAAACTTAAGAAAAATAAAAATATACGATATACAATAATGCCGACGTCTTTTCACGCCGTTCACTTGAAGAATGCACGAGATGAATCATTTGATTTGGGCAATGGACAAGCTAAACTTTATCCTGCATGGTGGGAGGTCGATAAGGTTAGTATTTATTTTAGATTGAGTTTAAAGGTTTTATGAAATAAGTGCGCAAATGAATGAATTATTACTTATGATTGCAGGTGTTTATCCCTGTTTTGGAACGTAAACATTGGATTCTCGTCGAGCTTCAGCTCCCATCCCTTAAGACAATAGTGTATGACAGCATGATAAATTACATATCATTGGCTGAT